TATGCAAGCGGAAAGCAACAATTTGGCAGAAGAAACATCCAGAGAAAACAGGCCTTCAGGTGAACATAGAGAAAACAGAGTGAAGATTACTGGGCAACAGCAACAGCGACAACGATCAGCAAAAATGGGAGGAACCTGAAAGATACAACCTCTTTTACATACCTGGGAAGCATCGTTTCAACTACAGGCAAAACTGACGAGGATATCAAAGCAAGAATTGGAAAAGCAAGACAAGCTTTCACTACTCTCAAGTCTGTGTGGAGGTCAACAAGTCCCAGCGTCAAAAATAAGATCCGGATTTTCAACTCCAATGTGAAGTCAGTCACTATACGGATCAGAGACTTGCACTGCGCGTCATAAAGAGCATCTCAAACAAACTACAGACCTTCATTAACAGTTGTCTTCGCTCAATAGTTCACTCAAGATCAGATGGCCGGCCAGAAAAAATTAGCAACAGAGATCTCTGGGAGCAAACCAACCAGGTACCGATTGTGAAACAAATAGGCAGGAAGAAATGAAGTTGGGTGGATTGGCCATACTCTGAGGAAACCATCAAGTGACATCACTAGACAAGCCATTGCTCGAGTGGAACCCTACAGGGAAGTGGCGAGTTGGTCGTCAGTGCAAGGGTGACTTGGTGGAGGTCATATGAAGAGGAGACGAAAGCATGTGGGCAGACTTGGAGTCAGGTAAAGACTCTAGCAGAGAACCGAACGCAATGGAGACGCACGGCTGAAGCCCTACGTTCCTCTAGGAATTAAAGAAAACAATAATAATAATAATATATTCGCCAAATCTGCATATCTTACGACTATAAATACTTGTCATTCGTCACCTCTTCTGACTGACCACTAAACACTGATAATCTCAAAGTTAAAGATATCTTATTTATCCTTTACTATTGTACATCTGAACAGCGCAGAGAGAAAGTCATCTCATGAGATAGAAAAGCTGTGTCAATTAACCTTCGAAGACAGAAGGAAGTCACCGAGAACACTACTTTCTAAAACCATGCAAAAAATACCTACTCAACGACACTACATATTTACACATTTGGTAACTTTGATAAATTTCGATATAAAAGGAAAGGCCAGATTTGCAGTTATAAGGAGTTCTTTGAGGCATTGAGGCATTACCTTATTTTCAAATGACGATTTTACATCCTTTTTAGTTCTGTTCACCTGGAATTTTTTTCCGGATCGTTAAGAACTGTCAGCAGTCTTATATATACACATTATCAGTTTTGTTTATTCACTATAACAACGCCAGTCTTTATCTCAGGTGTAAGTAAACATGACGATGTTATCATTACCATAGAGTTTATATTCAGTACTGCTACTCTATGATCGTCAGTTAGCATCTTCTGTTTTGTGGCTGGTGATGTGTATATTATTGGTTGGCTGGGTTCAAACCCTGGGCGGTAGGTGCGTACTGCCGATGAGTACCAAACTGGAATGAAAGAGGCTGACCAGTACATTTCCTACTGGTTTTCACTGGTTCTCTAAATGATATGAATCTTCAGTCTAACTTTAGACAAATCAAATGCCCACAAACTAACTCATGAAAATTATATCCAAGTGTTGGTTTGTAAGGATTTGATTAGTTACAAGATTTCATCATGAGCTGACATCGAGTAGAGAACCATTGGAAAACCTGGGAGTACTGGACAACTGTTTCGTCCTAGTTTGGGACTCTTCATCAGTACGCACCCATCGGGGTTCGAACCCAGGACCCTCCGGTTCTCCAACCAATGTCAGCACATGATGAAATCCTGTAACCAATCAAATCCCTACAAACCAACACTTGAATATCGATGAGATGCTCACTAGCGACTTGCCCTATTCAGGTAGGTAGTTACCTGGGGTTGTAGTGGGAAGTCGCGACCAGTAGGGTACAGCAGGTTGGGTGTGAGGACAAATACTCACTGAAGACATTGGCTAGTGGTCGCGCTATATCGTGAATTGGCAGAAGTTAGAATTCATGGACGCCATTGGATCGGGTCCCAGTGGTTTAGTGGTCTACGAGCTCGCCTTGTAACCAGAGGGTCCTGGTTCGAACCCCGGTGGGTGCGTACTGCTGAAGAGTCCCAAACTAGGGCGGAACAGCTGTCCAGTACTCCCAGCTGGTTTTCAAATGTAAGCTCATGATGAAATCATTAAAATTAATCTGATGCTAGTTGATAACTGCCTACAAGACTGAATCAAGTCTCCTTAGTGGCAGAATAGTCTACGAGTTTGCCTTGTAATAAGAAGCTGCTGGGTTGGGACCCTGTCGACGGATGCGTAATGCCGATGAGTCTCAAAACAGGAGGGAACAGCTGTACAATACTCTCTCGTTTTCAATGTTTTTATTTAACTGATATCAATCCATGACTGAGTAGTTCCAAAATAGAACTTTGCATAGAAATTCAGCGTTCAAATTGTCACACTTCATGTATCACAAAAAGCAACAGAAGAGAATACAAAGGAGATAATAAACAGAATTGTGAGGGAAAAGAATAGTTATATGGAAGAACAATAGAGTTTTATTGGATATGAATGTTTCTGAGCTCCTGATAACGATTTGTGCTGTAACCGATTGTCTCCAGCCGTCATTGGTTCTTACCATCCCGAGGACCCCAACCAGTCACAGGCAGTCTAAACCTCCCCACATGGCTGGTTCAAACTAACTGTTAAAGATCTCACTGACTGATGTCATGTTTTGGTCTGACCACTACTAGCTCTTTTCTAAACTACTCTTACGTTGGCTAACATTGCCCGTTGTCGAGGAAGGCGATAGCTAGGCTTGTTCTAGGCATCTCTATCGATGTAGCCTCACAACCTGATTGAATAATTTCCCCTCCTTAACTAACACTCGACATCTAAACTCAGTATTACTCACTCGTTATTATGCCGCCACCATCTAACATGGGAAATAGAAAGCAAACACCTATGATCAAAGAGAGCTAGCCAGCCTTTCCTTGTCTTCCAACTACAATGGTCATTCCTCCCACTCACTGTTATTAAGGAGGATGGAGCGAATTGTTGCTGTGCAGTCCTCTGGTCTATAGCCAGAGGGATATCACGCCTACGCCACAGATGACGTATGCTGAAAAATGCCAAACGAGAATTCTGTATCTCTGTTGATATTTGGTCTGAGACCAGTCGATTAGAACTGATTATTATTATTGTTTCCTTTAATTCCTAGAGGAACATAGGGCTTCAGCCATGCGTCTCCATTGCGTTCGGTTCTCTGCTAACGTTTTCACCTGGCTCCAAGTCTGCCCACACGCTTTCATCTCCTCTTCACATGACCTCCTCCAAGTCACCCTTGCATGACGACCAACTCGCCGCTTCCCTTTCGGGTTCCACTCGAGCAATGGCTTGTCTAGTGATGTCACTTGATGGTTTCCTCAGAGTATGGCCAATCCATCTCCATTTCTTCCTGCCTATTTGTTTCACAATCGGTTCCTGCTGAGTTGGTTCTCTCATTGCCAGAGATCTCTGTTGCTGATCTTTTCTGGCCGGCCATCTGATCTTGAGTATTGAGCGAAGACAACTGTTAATGAAGGTCTGTAGTTTGTTTGAGATGCTCTTTATGACGCGCTGGCCAAGTCTCTGATCCGTATAGTAGCACTGACTTCACATTGGAGTTGAAAATCCGGATCTTATTTTTGGTGCTGAGTGCTGTTGACCTCCACACAGACTTGAGAGTAGTGAAAGCTTGTCTTGCTTTTCCGATGATCCTCGCTTTGATATCCTCGTCAGTTCCGCCTGTAGTTGAAACGATGCTTCCCAGGTAGGTAAAAGAGGTGGTTTCTTTCAGGTTCCTCCCATTTATGCTGATTGTTGTCTGTTGTTGTTGCTGTTGGCCAGGAATCTTCATCATCCTCTGTTTTCTCTATGTTCACCTGAAGTCCTATCTTCTCTGGATGCTTCTTCTGCCAACTTGTTGCTTTTCGCTTGCATATCTTCCAGTTTGTGGGAAATCAGACATAAATCATCATCGGCGAAGTCCAGATCCTCCAAGTTTTTTGTGTGAGTCCATTTTATGCCTGTTTCCTCATTGCCCGCTGTTTGTCGCATTATCCAATCTACTGCAATCAGGAAAATCATTGGCGATAGTAGGCAGCCTTGTCTTACTCCTGTCCTCACTTCGAAGGATTCCGTAAGTTTCCCGTTGTGGATTACTTGGCATGCAGCATTGTCGTACAGCTGTTGGATGAGATGTATAATTGTCGGTGGCACCCCTTGGTAGTAGCGAAGTAGTTGCCAAAGCACCTCTCGATCGACGCGTCCGCCTAAACCGATTAAGACTGATGCAACTTTTCAAATAACTAAAGTGGTCAATATGCTTCACCAGTTGACTTTGTGATTTAAGGCCAGGGAGTTGATACACTCCAGCCTTGTAGCATCATCTTACATTAGACAGCAGGAGCATATCTCATACCAAACATTCGAACGTTCTGTTGCTTCTCAAGGTATTCAGAAGACCTTGTCTACATTTTGCCAGTATCTTCATTTAGGAGAGGGGACTATATATCATCCGCATATTCTAAGTCAACAAGACTATACCCTGGTAAAAAGTCAATCCCTGAGTTACCATGGAATAATCACCATAGCAGGTTACACACGTGGTATTCATTTTATTTGCACAACGGAAGCCAGTGCCTAATACCGTTAACTTCTTACTTTAAACTCGACGCCACGGTATACACCGGAATGAACATCTATACTAACGCCTCTTTCATCCATAGAAAAATAAGAAAAGAGAGAGAAAAGAGAGGGAGGTGTTTCAAGAAGTAAATGTTTATTGTCAGTTTATTGTTGTGACGAACAAATACTAGAATATTGACAATTTACAATGATTGAGGCTGATTCACCGGGAGAGTACACAGACAGTGAGTGTTCTTAGAATCAAAATCTATTGATATATATATGAATGACTTTAACATAGACCACACATTTATTATTATTATTATTACCAGTGACTGATAAAGTAAGCAACAGAGAAAAGCCTACCTTTTAACAGCCACTGGATTGATCATAGCAGGCTTATTGCCACCGCCACTGCCGACGCCGCCGCCGCCTAGTTCAGAATTCAGCTGTAATGCTGTCTTTGATAATAAAACAGTAGGTGTTGTTGTTGTTGTGTTTGACGGATTTGTAGAACTCGACGAAACAAGACGCAGAGGTACTGTTGCATTAGAATTAGCAGCAACTCGACTACCGATTATAGCTTCATTCTGCAGGATAGGCGTTCGATTGAATTGTGATGTCGTCTGAGGTGATAGAGAAGAGGCGACTGGGACGACAAGTGAATTATTCGGTGATACAGATCCTACATTCGATTGAAGTACATAGGAGAGACGAGAGGATCCAGTATCTACGCACAGAGTGAGTGGAACTTTCGGACTGCTAGTGGTTGGTTTTGAGTTAGCGTTAGGGTTAGGGTTCTGTGCCACTGAAGATGGTGTAATCCGAAAGTTTGGTCGATTCACTGTTTGTGCAGTGGATTGTAGTACAGGAGGTGATTGACAGTATTTTGTGACAGGAATTGAATTCAATTTTGGACTACAGGTGGTAGCAGCAGCTGGCAAACTTGCACGAGGAGTCGTGTTGGTGACAAGAGAAGTGGCAGTTATCTTAGGCGTGGTTTTAGAGACGGTAACCGGTGTTGAAATATTTGAAATGTTCGGTAGAATGACAACAGGAGAATTTTGTGATAGGATAGAAGAATCGGAGGTGTACGAAGCGTTTGCAGAAGACACTGGATTAGAATTTCTTCCGTTATTTGAGTTTGTTAAATTACTATTAGTGTTGTTGTTGTTGCTATTGCTGTTTGAAGATTTTGCAGTCGACTGGGAGGTTGAAGTGTTATTGCATAAACCACTAGAACAAAAGAAAAGAAAAACAAAAGTTTGACGAGAAGCAAAGGCACACACGCATGCAATTCAGATGAAATTAACACAAAAGCGAAAAGATGAAGGCAATCAAAAAGGAAACTTACAACCTAATAGTCAATTTAACATAGAAAATCATACGGAAAGTATGAATCTACTCGGCTGGGAAATTCTGTACACGGGACCAAAGACTGCAGAGGATGTTGACACGCCACTGTTGCACCAAGTTTAGAAGGAAAGAAGGGTACCTAATAATTGAAAGAAATGCTGCTACCTTGATAAACTGCAAGAACTGGCACCGAGTCACGCTCTTGTCCATGCCAAGCAAAATATTATAGGTCGCGTCATCCTGGAGAGGCCATCGACGGCGTTGATCGTCAAGTAATTCTGCATTATTATGGAGTGCAATGCCACAAATCTTTATCAACCTCATTCAACAGCTGGCTATATGACAATGCAAAGTGTTAAATGATCCACAACCAGAAAGTCAGAGAAGCCTTTGAAGGAGTAAGACAGGAGTAAGATAAGGCTTTTAGACTACTGCCACCGATGATATTCCTAATTGTGGTGGACTGGATTATGAGGAACATGGTGCGTGGGGAGTGAGAAGACAGGAATACGCTGGATCGATAGGAAGACTTGAGAAGATTTGGATTTCAAGGACGATTTATTTCTAATGTCAGACAAACTCGAGGACTTACGGGTGGAAACTAACAAGTTGACAGAAAAAGGAGGCAGCAAAGACAGGGCTTTAAGTGAACACATAGAGGAGAAGGAAGTGATGAAGATAACCAACCACCACTATCAATGGAACAAATTTGAAAGCTGTCACTTCTCTAGTCAGCATCGATTCAAATACAGGCAGTTGTAGCACGGATGAGTACGCTAAAACCAGTCTGGATCGAAAAGGCAAGACACATATATCCATCGCTCTGAAGTCACTTTGGAACTCAGCATAAAGAACACAATTCCGATTTTCAGCACCTTCCTTCGTTTGCTCCATAATGACAATCAGAGGGCCAGAAAGTATTCGCGACAAGAAACTCTGGAAACGAACCAATCGACAGCCTACTGTCTTAACAAAATATTGGGAAGAAAATGGAGATGGGTTGGACGCATGCTGCTGAGGACCGTCGGATGACACCATGCACCAGGCCATTATTCGAGTGGAATCCGGATGGAAAAAGACGAGTTGGGTTTGTGTCCGAAGTGACATAGGGGAGATCGTGTGAAGAGAAGATGACAGCCAATGGGTGATTTTGAGGGCAACTACTGAGGGGTACTGCAGAGAACAGAACAGATTAGAGATGTACCGTCGAAGTGCTATGTTCCACTCGGGACTCGACAGAACAATAAAGATGATAATAATTAATAATGCAATGGAAGTCCTAATGCTCTTTTCAAAAGAGATGTGGTCGAGATTAGCAAACAAATATGTACAGCTTTGTTGAAATCAAGCTTTCTTTCAATTGACTAGACAGCTGATATTATCGTTTACTGTTATCAGTAATTTCGTTGAAGATATCCCTCAACAAACAGACTAGACGAATCACCGTCAATGGGAGAAATACAAGGGAAGTCGTTTCTTTTACTTATCCCACCTGGACACAGTACCGTTTCAACAACAGCTAGGATGGATGACGATGTTAGGATCAGATCGAGAAAGCAAGACAGGCATTTATTACTGTGATGTCGGCATGGAGATCTACAGCAATAAGTAACAAAGGGACGACAAAAGTGCCACTACTGGAGGACATAATGCTAAGAGTGCAGCTATACCTGACTTTTATAGTATTTGAATTCCAAAGAAAAATATACAAACAAACTAAGACAGTTGCCACGGCGTCGCCAAAATCCCCGATTGTGGCAGATATATTCATGGATAGGAGAAATCCAAACGTTCAGCCCTACCCACAAAGTATGGTGTGTAGATGACACATTCACCGTACTTAAAGAACAAGACATAAACAGACTCGAAGGTAGTGTCCATTCAATTCACTCTTGAACTGGTAAGTCAGGAAGAGGAGCTTCCAATATTAGATTGTAGAGTAAAAAAGGAAAGAGGATGGCGAGTTAAACGCACTAGTGTTTACAGGAAACCCACACATTCAAACCGATATTTGGATTTCCGATCATTCTACACTGTGTCTTTAAAAATAGGATTAGTGAAATGTTTAAGTAAAAGGGCACAAAAGCTAAGGAAAGTGATAAGGAAAATCTAAGACAGGAAGTGAGGCATATAAGAGAAACCTTGAAACTTAATAATTACCCTGATAAATTATTCAAGAAGTATGTAGGAAAATGTAAAATTAATAATTACAATGGTAGTAACACATGATAATAATAATAATGACTGTGTACGTCAAACATGCACAGAATAATGACAACACCAACAATGGTGAATCTAAATCATCAGTGGTGTGGTGAGAGCTGTCTACTAGCCAAATTGGTAGACAGTAATTTACGTCAATATTTACGTTCCCAAGATTTGTTGTGAGAAAATGTGAACAAAGATTGTTTCAAAACCGACCACGGCAGACTTTGCGTAGGCGGATGCAGTTAACATATAGAGGATTTGACATTCAAGAAACAGTCACAAATAGATGAAAGATTAACTTTACGTGAGAAACAACCAATCGGAAGACTGTGTTTGTTTACTTAAATATCCATAGTAATGTACATGCAAATACATAAATATGCGTTGATTTCCTTAATAAATGATCTGTTGCCTGACTCTTGCCTTCTGTCGTTACAATAGTGATGATAATAATAATATTAATGACGATATGCATGTCAAACATGCACAGCATAATGACAACACCAACAATAGGAAATTTAAATCATCAGTAGTACTTCCATACAAAGAAGGAATAAAAGTGACTGACATTCAAACCCACACACTCAATTAGATATAAGCTTTGTCGGTTAAAGGATCCTGTGGGGCCCATTAAGCAAAACAAGTTAGTTTATCTATTACCCTGCCTGCAATGATTGTCAAGTTGAATGCAAAGGTTTGAGCAGTGGAGCTGGGGTAATCAGATTAGCGGAGCGTAAAAGCTTAGCACAATCTAGATTAGTTGACCAGACAACAAGATAAGAAATCTGAAGAATAGTTCAGCTGTGGCACCACACTACATGCAATTACACACAACACAGCCATACAATAGGATGGGATAAGATGACAGTTTTAAAATCTAATGTAACAGCAGGGTGGAGGGAGAGACTGATAACGGAAGCTTTGTTTATCGAATCAACTGCAAACAGGTGTAAAAAGAATGATTGAATGCTTGTCCCAGACATCTGGAAAATTCTACTACCTCGTACGACGAATAGGAAGGGATAAAGAAAACCACAAAACGAAAGTTTCGAAGTTGTGTAGTTTCAGTTGATACTGGGATTATGAACAATAGAGAAGTGTATTTGAGATTTTCCCGTCGATTGATTGGACCAAAGTGCTCGGTCTCAGGTTGACATGTCGGCTTCTTGTGCAGATGCTTCGACGATGTCTGGGCATTTAATTAGAATTTAATTTGTGGATGGTAACTAGCAGTGGAATCCATGATGCGCATTTCGTCCTATTTGAGACTCGTCACCTGGATGTACCTGCATTTCCCAGTGAGTGATGATGTTTGAAACTAAGGGCACTGGGTTTGAGCCTCGGTGGGAACATCATCACTCACTGGGAAATGCAGGTACATCCAGATGACGAGTCCCAAATAGGACGAAATGCACATCTTGAATTCCACTGCTAGTCACCATCCACAAATTAAATTCTAATAGAGAATTGTGTTCGAAACTTCGTCATCCAGCGGACAACACTGTTTCCATGACTGTGTCATATATCTTATAAACAAACTAATATCAAAAGACTTTAAAGTCTGTTATCATTAACTACATACGTAGGAAATTATCCAATAACAAAGGAACTTACTGATCATTGCAAAACTTCTGGAAGATGGGTAGGGCAGACCGCCATAGAGCGCTAAAAAAAGTTTTTTTAAAAAAAAGAAAGGTATGCCAGTAATCATTACTACTGTTAATCAAAATATTTGACTCTGAGATTGGTTGTAAAGCGACAAGAAGAAACTAACACAACTAGGTTCAAGCATAGACGATTCTTTTCGATAAACTCCTCACTCGGCATTACAATTATATACTTACCTACAAAATATTTTGAAGTACACTATCTTTGCATCAAAACAAACCCTATTTTACGTTAGAGAGTTGGAGATGAACCACCTAATTTTGCCTCTTCTATCTTGTATCTATCTTTCTATCAATTTGACTGCTGTTGAGGAGCCAGCTACATAGACAGTACACTTAGGCGTGTCTATCGTCGTCTGGGATGCCCACTAACTCCATTCCTATTCAAGATTATACCACAGGACTGGACTGGACTACATTGACTCCTATCTTAGAAATAGGGAGTGAAGTGGTGGCTGAGCGTGTTGAACACTTCACTTATTTGGAAAGTTGCATCAGCCAACGCCAACGGGTTGATCGCTGACGAAATCTCAGCACAGATACAGAAGGCTAGTTTCGCATATGCCAGATTACGCCGTCTCTGGTGTAGAAGTGTGATATCCGGCTGGCTATCGACCCAAAGGGCGTGTGTACTGCTCAGCGGCAGTTAACCCTGTCCTCCTTTATGGCTGTCAGTGAGACCTGGCCATTAAGAGTGGAAGACATGAAAAGCCTGGCTAGCTGTCTTTGATCATAGGTGTTTAAGTGCTACCTCCCGTGTTAAGTGGTATAATAGAGTGAACAATATTCAGGTTAAGCTTCGGTCGAGTGCTAGGTGAGGACAGAAAATCAATCGACGAGACTTCGAAGTTACACCGATTGAGATAGTTAGGACACGTGTTAGGCATGCTAACCTAGCCATCGATGGCCTTCCTCGACAACGGGCAATGTTAGCTGACTGACATAGTATGGATCAGGTTGGAAAAGAGCTAACGAGTGGTGGTCAAACCAAAACATGGTTTCATCAGTCAATGAAATCCACAACAGTTAGTATAATCCAGCCACGTAGGAAGGTGTAGACTGCCTAGCTGTTTGGGGTCCTCAGGACGGTAGAAACCAAAGATGGCTAGAGACAATTGGTGATATGGCATGGGGCATCAGTGGCACAGCGGTAAAATGCTCGCCAACGACGCAGGTGGTCTAGGGTTCGATCCCCGGCTGACGCACTCCTTTACTTCGCTAAGTCAGCAGTAAGACTGGTAAAGAGGCAAAGTTGGGCATGAGGCTAGCCTCTAGCTTGAAGCAGCCCTATGTTCCATTCGGAACGTAGAGGAATATATATATATATATATATATGCGCCACCTATAACTTATATTTCCAGCCCGTCTCTTAGCATCCCATTAATCTTATCACATCTGCATTAAAACGGTATTTCATTTACTTCCCTAACTATCTAGCATTACTTAATCGAAGCTTTTGTTTTTTTCTTAGCCTTTATCGATAACTATGTCTACGTAAACATTTGTTTGTTTATTCGCGCTGTTTTTCGTTATTTTTGTTATCAGAGATCACTTCATTTTTTCATCTTTGTTATTGATAGAATCATTATTATTATTATGTTGTTGTTGTTATTGTCGTTTAATTATGACTAATTGCACAATTTGTATGCAAAGACTTATCATCCTAAAATGACAAACCACTGTGTGATTGGCTTATAATTCAACACATTAATTTTATAAGTTAATGTGTAATTTGCGAATTTGATTTACGGGTATTTATTTACCAGTTCAGCTCAAATACCTGGCTAGAAATCAGTTTGCTTTGAAAGCGATTCAACTCTTTGAACTGAGTCAAACGTGTGCTGGTGGTGGTATATCGCGGATGAGCTCACCCAATCCCTCAACCCCACCATACAAGGAGTAAAACGACCGTCCACTGGTTCAGATCACATTTCAATCTGGCTAGCAAGCCACACTACTGGCTGGATAATGAGTAGTATACAACGAC